AGGTTCCGTTTGTTTAGCGGAAAATGAATGATTTGGGAATTATTTACCTAAAAACGATCGCTTGTATTGCTTATAAAAATAAATGAACGAATAATATTTTAACCGTCGATGACAATGTTTAGACATAAATTGTTGTCAATGATTCCATTGACTAATTATTTTATGCAATACAAAGCAATCATTTTTAGGAAAATATTTTTCAAATCATTCATTTTTCACAAAACAAATTGAGCCTCAATACATGGTTCTAAATTTATATTGTTTTGTATATAGATGCTTTTGAAGTTTAGTCGAAATTTTATTACTTATATATTGATATTGGTATCACATTAGTATCAATAGAACAATATAGATACTCAACAAATATCAAGCATAAAATTTTACTCGTTGGTTTGATATGCAAGTGTCACAGGTTGATTGTTTGGGATCGGACCCGTGTGGCAACTTAGGCTTCCTTGTATTGTTGGAGCACCTAAGCCAAGCCTTTTCTAGAGGGATCGATCGCTCATTCGCTTGCTCGGATTGTAGAGAGAGAAGCTTTGGGAGAGAATGGAATTGTATTGCTTCAATTGTTGGATGGTTACAAATGAGGGGGAGAGCACCCCTACTTATACAAAGACTCGACTCATTACATCCGTTGATCGACATTCAATCTAGCAGAGGAGATCGAATCTCACCGTCCACCAACTACGGGCATTTATGCCGAGAACTCTCTAGAACTCGGTACAACTACTATATCGCCCGTCCTTGGAAATGTTTTTGAAGCTCTAGAAGATTTGGCCTGTTCTTTCTCAATCGTACGCGGTCCTTGGTGCATGGAAACCTCGGAACCGTGACACTTGATATATAGGGTGAGGAATTAGGGCACTCTTGCAGGAATAAGAAACATGTTAAATTCCTAATTTGGATTAAGAGAATATGTGATATGTCCAAAATAAGATATTAAAGTAGTTCTCTTCATTATGAGCATAATTTTTAAAGATATTAACTTTATCCTCTCCCAACTAAATTAAATAATGCAATCTTTCCTAATTTGGCACCTCTCATGTGCACATCACATATAAATTTTGGCCACCACAGGTATTCACTGGGCTTGGCCAAAATCCATGCTCCCATGGGCTTTGGTCCATATAATTTGATTAAGTTTAGAACTTCCCTTTTTTTAACCCATTCAGCACCGGTCTAATTAGACTACAATTTATGTGGCCCTAATGTTATTAAATGAAAAATGCTTCCAATATGCAAATGTAAATTAACAATATTTTTGTTTAGAAATCGGGGTCGAATCCTAATTTTCTTATGCAATGAATGAATAAATGGGATCGCCAAAATTTAGGCATCAACAAGATATAGATTTGTACTCTTAAACCAGTACATGGACATTTTACTAGTATATGCTCTAATACTAAACTGGACAAACACATAAAATAAGCGTTTATGAATTAGTTTAAACTTTGTTGTGAATCAGGCCCATATTATAGAGAAACGCTATGTTTTCATTTGTTTATTTATTGGAAAATAGTCTCACTATATACGTTCAGTAGGCTCTCTCCATTTGGTATTCTACTACTCCATAGTGAAAAATCGTACTTCACAAGTAAATGGACAGTGAAATGAAAAATATTCCGTGTGGACTCGACTATTTCACCGTTAAGCTTTGTAAAAGATACAAATTTTCAGAGAAATTGTTCGCATTTATTGTTACTTTTGTCTGCTACATGACTCATATAATCGGCCCGTTTGAGCAATTTTCGCTCCAATTAGTCGATAGTCAGGATGGAATTCAATGGACAAGCTCAATTTAATTTTCCATTGTTCGGTAGTGGAAATTTGTATCACTCAAGCACATGGACAGTGAAATGAAAAGGACTTTGTGTGGACTGGACTAACCATGTGAACAAGGCTGGACTCAATTTTGTCGATGAGCGTCGTGAAAGATACATATTCCCCGAGAAGTCGTTTGCAATTATTATTAAAATTTGTCAATTACATGACCGGTATAATTGGCCCGTTCGAGGAATTTTCGCTCCAATTAGTCGGTAATCGGGATGGAATTCAATGGACGAGCTCAATTTAATTTTCCGTTGTTAGGTAGTGGAAATTTGTATCACTCAAGCACATGGACAGTGAAATGAAAAGGACTTTGTGTGGACTGGACTAACCGCGTGAACAAGTCTGGCCTCAATTTTGTCGATGAGAGTCGTGAAAGATACAAATTCCCTGAGAAATCGTTCGCAATTATTATTAGATTTTGTCTATTACATGACTAGTCTCATCGGCCCATTTGACGAACTTTTGCCCCAAGTAGTCGATAACTCGGGTTAGAATGCCGTGGACGAGCTTGGATGTACGTTGAGAATCATTTCAGTCCTCCACATTGCGTGGAGAAAGATTGGTGGTCATGGGCTCACGAAGAGAACCGTTTTGAGTAGAGGGAATTGACTTCAGAGTCATTTTAGGTCACATAATATCAACACTTAGGCTCCGTTCGTTTGGCGGAAAATATTCTCTTTTGAGAAATATTTTCCCGGAAGTCATTTTCCTGAAAAATATTTTCCTGGAACACAATTTTCCGGTGTTCGGCGACCAATATGAAAAAGTTTCGGAAAATATTTTTCACCGGCGACCGGCGGCGGCGCGCGCAGCGGCGGCGGCGGGCGGCGGCGGCGGCGGGCGGCGGCGGCGGCGGCGGCGGCGGCGGCGGCGGCGGCGGCGGGCGGCGGCGGCGGCGGCGGCAGCGGGCGGCCGGCGACGGCGGCGGCGGCGGGCGGGGGCGGCGGCCAACAGTGGTGACCGGCGATCAACTTCCTCTCACACGGAAAATATTTTCCCTCCCATGGGCAATTTTGCCTTCAATTTGGGGGAAAATGATTTCCTCTTTGTGAAAAGAGGAAATCATTTTCCTCAAAACAATGAAGGATTTGGGGTGGGGAAGGAAAATGTTTTCCCACGGAAAACATTTTCCGCCCCCGAACACCGGAAAACGCGGAAAATTTTTTCCAAAAAAATATTTTTCCGTAAACGAACGCAGCCTTAATAGAAACTTCGCAAGAAGCTATGATGTGACGCTTTTGTACGCATCGAATGAGTTAACAGATAGAGAGAATCCACCTTCCCATCATCATCCATCACATACCATGTCCCTCCTCATAAACATATTGAGAATCTTATTGTTAGGGTTCCTAGTTCCTATTTTAATTTCTTGGATGATCTCATCAACGGTTGATGTACTGACTTGTATCTAAAGTCAAGAGGCCAGGTATTTAATTTATCCTAAGTTAAGTTTTCCCTCTTTTTTATTTTTTTGATAACTTGTAAATTAATTGCCGGGTCAATTTTATGTGTTAATATATAAATAACACGCACTCTAGCTTGCTATTAATGGCTGAGGTCAGACGGTTGCACTTTGGTCATAAATGATTCTATATGGGTTCCTTTCGAGCTAGGTAGATATGGAACAATGCAATTATCACTAGAGCCATCATAATATTGGAGAAAATCAAAGTAAAAAAGGTTTGACTTGAAGGCAGACGCAGCTTCTTGGAAACTCAAAAAAATTATCTGCAAACATCCCAACTCCATTTAATGGTACGTGTGTGCCTCCATCATTGATTCTTCTGCATCCGTTCCCATTGCATCGTTGAATTGAACCGAATAATAATAATAATAACAGATAATGACATAAATAGTACGTAGGATAATGTGGATATTAAATAATATCAAAAAAGTCCTAAATCTATTGCATATCAATTCAATCCTAAACTTTTCAATTGTGCCAATTTAGTCCTAAACCTTTTGACAATTTGCCAATTCAGTCGTAAACCTTTCAATTGTGCCAATTTAGTTATAAAACTTTTGATGATTTGACGATTTGCCAATTTAGTCATTTTGGCCAATTTTGGTCGGAAATCGCTGATGCGATGGTTTAGCCAGCGCCGGCCTTTCTACACGGCACGACAGTGCTGACATGGACAATTTTTTAAATTTTTTTCTTAATTTTTAATTTTTGTATTTTTTCTTCCTTTCTTTTTTCTTTTCTATTTTTCCTAACCCTAGGCCAGTGAGGGCGGGCGACCCTCGCCCATGGCCAGCCTAGAGTTAGAAAGAAAAGGAAAGAAAAAAGAAATAAAAAATTCAAAAAATAAAAATATTAAAAATTGTCTACTTCAGCACCAACCGTGCCATGTGGGATAGTCGGCGTTGACTAGACTACCACGTCAGTGATTTCTAACCAAAATTGGCCGGAAGGACAATATGCAAATCGTCAAAAGATTTAGGACTAAATTGGCACAATTGAAATGTTTATGACTGAATAGATAAATTATGAAAATGTTTAGAACTAAATTGATAAAATTGAAATGCTTAAAACTGAATTGGCAGGAGTACAATAGGTTAAAATTGAAATGCTTAAGGCCGGAAGGTCGACCCTCGTCGGGCTTGCCCGCCCTCGCCCAGGCGAGGGTCAGCCGGGCCTTGCTTGTGGCGAGCGACGGCGGCCTCGTCCGGGAGACGCCAGGCGGCTGCTCTGGCCGTGGCCAATGGCCGGCCTCCGGTCACCACTTGTGACCGGAGGTAGAAGAATAAGAAAGAGAAGAAAAAAAGAAAAGAAGGAAAAAAAATCAGAAAACATATTTAAAAAATCTAAATGTACACATGGAAATGCCACGTAGACTTATTTTTTTAAAAAAAATCCAACTAAGATTAAAATTTTAATTATAAAAGTCACGTATTAATTTGGCCAGAATTTCTCGCCGTTGGCACGTAAGTGATCGTTTTTCCTCCGATTTGGCACTTAAGTGAGCCAGCGAAAAATTTTTGGCACTAAAGTGAGTGCCGTACACAAGTTTTGGCACTTCTAGTATTCTTTTCCCCCCTTCAAACAGAGCTATTTTGATTCCTCTGCATAGTAGGTGAAGGAGATAGATTGGGCTTACCGAAGAATAGACAAGCCTATATAAACTTTCTACGAAAGACAATAGGAGTATCGGAGAAATAAGAAAAAACCATGAACTATCGGGTACTACTGGAGGTCCCGCCCATGCCCAGCAGTCCTTCAATGGAAGCTTTCCATGCTTTGTCTTACTTTTGCAAAGCTCTTCTCCGTTATAAATACATCGTAGTCGTCATCATATCCTTCAACTCTCTCTCTCTCTCTTTCTCTCTCTCCCACACACACACACAAACACACACTTGCCTTTTCGCAAAACCCTTTTCAATGATTCCTCCAAGAATCTCGTTTGATGCTGAAAAGCTTCTCTTTTTGGCTCTCTCCTTTATTGCTATCGTTGTGACCTTCAGCGATGGCACACACCCAGCGGTGGCGCAAAGCAGTAACAACAGCAATCCAACAACGATTACGGTGAACGTTGGAGTGGTTCTGGATCTGGAGACGTGGGTGGGTCAAATGGGATTGAGCTGCATTAACATGTCTCTCTCTGACTTTTATAGTTCTAACCCTTCCTACAAGACCAGGCTCGTCCTCAATGTTAGAGACTCCAAACGAGATGAGGTTGCCGCTACTGCTGCAGGTTCTCTCTCTCTTTCTCTCTCTAACATACTGACTGGTCATGATGCTTGGCCAGAAATATATGATGATAGCGGTTTTTGGGTTAAAATTTTTGTACTTCTGTTGATCGTGTTGAAGATTTTTTTGGTTAATCTTTTCTTTTTACCGAATTTTATGGGGTTAAATCTCTGCTTAAACTTCGAAGGGGTTTGGTCTTGGGTTAATACACATATTGCGGAAGAGCATAAACTATTTTATGCATCTGCTTTGTGTGATGCAAGAGAAAACCAATTATTGTTTGTAGCGACGTATTTGGCAATCATATGAAAATTTCAGCTTCTATATATCTGAAATGTGAAAAGAATCCCCAGTTAAGTTTTCAGCGACACAACTATTGAGGAGCAGGTGGAAACTAACTTACAATAAACACTCTTGTTATTACAAGAAAGAGACGCCCAACACCACTCACGCACAAGCACACTACTTTTTGGGGATTCTTTCTATTCAATACTCCACGTTAATACAATCGGGAAGGGGAGCCACCTATTTATACTAAGCTAAGTCGGTGGAGTCTCCTTATTCTTTTACAAAAGTTGAAGACCGACTTTGACTTGTCTCCAACAACTTGCCGAAGAAGATTGTAGACCAACTTGCTCCTTGAGAAAAGTCAACAAAAGAAAAAAGCCACCGTTTACGGCTGTTCAAGAAGTCGGCAAAAATAGTACCTAATTTGGAATTCTTAACTGCCAGTGGAGGAGAAAATATTGGATACAACTATGGTGATACGTCACTTATGCAATAGTCCACTTACTGTGCGACATGTGTCAATATGAGCCCACCTATTTGACAGTCTCTCTTCCCTGTCTCTTTACTCTTCATTAATTTCCGCATCTTCTTCCTGTGATCTTGACCTCGAGTAACCGTGGTCGCGAGCTCGAGCTATGGCAACCATGGTCGTGAGCTCATGCTCAAGTGACCATGCATTGACCTTGAGCTCGTGCTCAAGAGAATGGCCATGTTTGTGTGCTCGAAACCCAAGCTGCCATGGCTACTGCAAGCTCTAGGCTCAAGGTCAAGCTCCATGGCCATGACGGCCATGAACCTTGGTCTCGAGCTCCACGGCCATGGCGGCCACGAGCCTTGGGCTCGAGTTCCGCGGCCATGGCGACCTAAGAAAAAAAAAGAAAAGCAAGTGTAGCACTGTTGAAAAAAAGGAAGAGAGAGAGTCAAGAGAGAAGAGAGAGAGAGAGAGAGAGAGAGAGAGGACGCAGACGAGGTCAAGCTCCGTGGCCATGGCGGCCGCAAGCCTTGGGCTCGAGAAAAAAGAAGAAAAGCAAGTTAGAAAAGGAAGAGAGAGAGGACGCAAACAACGTCAAGCTCCATGGCCATGGTTCCTCGGACGAGAGAGAGAGAGAGAGAGAGAGAGAGAGAGAGAGAGAGAGAGCTAGGGATTCTTGGTCGTGAGTCGGGAGGGACGAAGAGAGCAGAGTGGAATCGCGAGTCGGAAGGGAGAGAGAGAGAGCGGAGCGTGAAGAGTGAAGAGAGAGGGAAGAGAGACTATCAAACAGGTGGGCCCACGTTGACATGTGTCGTACAATGAGTGGACTAGTACATAAGAGACGTGGCATCACAGTTGTATGTAATATCTGCTCGCCAATAGAGAGGTGTTGATTACTCAATACTCCCCCTCAACACCTGCCACTGTCCTCCTGCTTGCCATACCCAACTGCTTTTGAAATTCCATGAATATAGATCCGATAAGTCCCTTTGTAAAGATATTGGCAACTTGTTCATCCGTTCTAGTGAATTTCATCTCAATTTCTCCACGTAACACTTTTTCTCGCAAGGAGTGATAATGTACTTCTACATGCTTAATCCTTGCATGGAACACAAGATTTTCCGCTAAGCTTATGGTTGATGATTGTCACAATATAGTTGTGTTGAGTAGTCTACCGGTTGATGAAGATCCTTCATCAACTAAACCAGCCACGTACTCTTTTTAGCTGCATTGTTGTCGCTCTATACTCAACTTCTATTGTAGACAATGACACAGTTGGCTGTCTTTTATTGCACCATGACACTACTGCTGATCCGAGAATAAACATGTATCCAGTAATTGATCGCATGTGTCATGATCTCAAGCAAAATCAACTTCGCAATAGCCTACTACCTCACACGATGCTTCTTTCTCATACAGTAATCCAGAGTCAACTATACCCTTTACATACCTTAGTATGCACTTCACTGCATCCAAGTGAGGCTTTCGTGGTTTCTCCATGAATCGACTTTCTGCTCCAATTGCGAAGGCAATGTCAAGCCGTGTTATGGTTAGGTAAATAAGGCGCCCTACCAATTGTCTATACATAGTTGTATCTTCTAATTCCTGTCCTTCATCTGCAGACGGCTTTACATTTCATTCTCTTGGAGTAGGCTTACAATCAAGCATCCCCAATTTTTCTAGGAGATCTCATGCATACTTCTACTGACATAGGAATAGTCCTTCATTGGTCTGCTCAACTTCGAGTCCTAGAAAATGTTTCAGTTCTCCAAGCTCCTTCATTTGAAACTGCATCGAGAGTTCGGCTCTGATTTGACATATCTCCTCTTCATCATCTCCAATGATGATTAAATCATCCACGTAAATCAATGCTATAGCAAGCTTGCCATCTTCTTCCTTCACAAACAAGCTTGAATCTGTTAGAGCTACTAAGGTTGTGAATGATAACCATTTTGTTTCTCTATTTCTGTTCTAGAAATAGATTTTGAACAGAAATCCGTTTGGTAACGCAATTTCATTTTCTATTTCTAGAACAAAATTTTGTTTCAGAAATAGATTTGGAACAGAAATGAGAAGTTAAAATTTTCTAATTTTCTATTTCTGGAATAGAAATGAGAAGTTAAAATTGTTCTCATCACTCGTCCTTTCTACTAGCCGGTCGCCCACCCATCGCCCATCACCGCCTACTTGCCGGCTGCCGCCTCCCGCTATTTGCCGCCTCCCGCTGCCGGCCGCTACCGGCCGCCGTCCACCGGCCCCCATTGCTCGCCACCAGCCGCCCTCCTCCCGCTTCCGCCCATCTCCCACCGCCTGCCGCCCTTCTCCCGCCGCCGGTCGCCTCGCCCTGCCGGTCGCCGTGGGCTGCAGCCCGCCATCCACTGGCCACCGTCTCTCGCCGCCGGCCACCCTACACCCACCTCCGGCCGCCACCCACCGCCAGCCGTCGTCTCCTACCGCCGGCCGCCCTCCTCCCGCCGCCGCTTGCTACGGTCGCCACCCGCCTCCCACCGCCACCCGCCGTCCACCAGTCACTGTCTCCCGCTCCCAGCCGCCCTCCTCCCGCCGTCGCCCACCACCCACTGCCGACCACCGTCTCCCGCTGCTGGCCGCCCTCCTCTCGCCACCGCCCATCACCCACCTCCCATCGTCGGCCACCGCCTGCCGTCCACCGACCACCGCTCCCACCACCGGCAGCCCTTCTTCCGCTGCCGCGTGCCTCCCCCCGCCGGCCACCGTGGGCCGCCGCCCGCTGTCCACCGGCCATTGTCTTCCACTACCGGCCGCCCTCCTCCCGCCGTTGGCTGCCTCCATCTGCCATCCTCCGCACTAGCCGCGTCGTCGTCCGCCGCCACCTCCCCCCGTTGTCCGCCGCCTGCCGTTTGCCGCCAACGTCCACCACCCGCCGTCCGCCGCCACCATCCGTCCGCCGTCCACTCGCCGGCCACCCGAGAGGAAGAAATTTTATGTCGTTATCAAACAAATTTTTGTTTCAAAAACAAAAATTTTGTGTCATTATCAAATGTGTTTTTTGGCTCAGAAACTCATCCAGGAACAGAAATTAATTTATGAAACAGAATGATTGTCATTCGCAGCCTAAATAACCACTTTGTATCAAGAATTCAGCAATCTTCCCATATCATGCTCTCAGGGCTTGCTTTAAGCCATAGATAACTTTCTTTAACTTGTAGACATAGTCTGGATGAGTCTTACTCTTGAAACCATCTGGCTACTCCATGTATATATCTCGATCTAGTTCATCATGTAAGAAGGCATTCTTCACGTCCACTTGCCACAACTTCCATGACTTGCTTGCTGCAAGTGCTAATAAGACTCGAACTATAGTAACATTTGCTACCGGGCTAATGGTCTCATCATTATATAAGCTATACTTTGGAGAGAATCCTCGAGCAACTAATCGTGCCTTATATCTATCTATTGACCCGTTTGGTCGAGTTTTAAGTTTATAAATCCATTTGCATGATATAGGACATACCTCTTTAGGCCTTTGCACCAAATCCCATGTCTTCTTCTTCCTTAGTGCTTTGGATCTCATATTCCATGGCCTTCCTCCATTCCGCGCCATGTGACGCTTCCTCATATGTTGATGGCTTAAACACTTCAACATCTTTGGTCAATGCCGCATTTGCATATTTGGGATTTGATCTTCTTTGCCTTGTTGATCTCCTAAGTTGAGGTACCTATTCTTCAGTTTCTTCCATCTGACTTGATCGAAGCTCTTCTATCATTCTTGGATGTACACTAGTTCACCACAGACTCTTTTATTTTTCTGGTGATTGTGCTCTGACTTCTTCTTTTCCAACTACGGGTTCATTTTCTTATTCAATCGACTGGTCCTTATCAAGCTCATCATTTTCTTTCATTCTTTCATGCACCTCTTCTTCGATTTGCATTGAATTTGGTAATTCACCAACTCATGACGACCATCACGATGATAGTTTGTCGAACACCACATTTTTTGAAGTTTAACACCACCCTATTGTAGGATCACAACACTTCCACCCTTTCGTTTTTATCATCATAGCCCATAAATATGCAGCACACAGCCTTCTTATCTAACTTACTACATAGAAGATCAGGTACAAATGCATAGCATATACATCCAAATACTCTAAAATGACTTACCCTGGGATGGCGATTCCATAGCTTCTCGTATGGTGACATAAAGCCAAGCCCTACTTGAGGTAGTCTATTGATCATGTGCATTGTTATCGTCGTGCATTAAG